TCACAGTGTCATAACCTTTGGTGAGGTCAACGGAAGTTATATCGAGTCCTTTGTTCTGTTCCCTACGCTTCTCTTGCAGTTGTCTGAGAACAAACACCATGTCTGAGGTACTTCTGTTGGCTCTGAAACCACAGTGGCTTTCAGGTAGAAGTTCTTCTGAGATAGCTGGTTAGTCTGTTCTCAAGTATTCTTGCAAGGATTTTACCAGCAATAGAGAGCAAAGTAATACCCTGGTAATTTGAACAGTCTGATTTTTCTCATTTCTTCTTGTACAGGGTGATGATGACTGCATCATGGAGATCTGGTGGTACTTCTCCTTTTTCCCAGCAATGCACAATGAACTCATGAAATTTAGCATGGAGTGCTTGGGCTCCGTGCTTCCAGACTTCAGGTGGGATTCCATCAATCCCAGCTGCCTTGCCAGTTGTCACCTGCTGTATGGCCTTGACAGTCTCTCCCGTAGGAGGGGCTGTATCCAATTGGTTTTTCACCAGTTTTTGTGTAACGTGCTGAATTGCTGAGCCTTGAACTACAAGGTTGACACTGAAGAGAGTCTGGAAATGTTCAGACCATCGATTCAGGTTGGAGGCTTTATCTGTGAGAAGCATTTGGCCATCTGTGCTTACATCTGGCTTTGAACGTGGTGTATAGGTCCGTACACTGCTTTCAGAGCCTCATAGAATCCTCTCTGGTCACCTGAATCAGCACACAGTTAAGTCTTTTCTGCCAGATTGATCCACCACTTGTTCTGGATGTCTCAAAGTTTCTGTTGGAGCTTACTGCATGCAAGATGAAGGGCTGCTTTTCTTACATGGCAAGATGTCTGACCAAGGTGTGCTTGGCGAGCATTTCTCTTCTTTGTCAACAATTCCTGGATCTCTTGATTGTTTTCATCAAACCAGTCTTTGTTTTTCTTGGAGGAGAACCCTGAAGATTCTACCGAAGACTGGATGGTGCTATTTTTAATATGTTGCCAGAGTGCTTCAGGAGAGGGTTCTACGAGATGGTCTTCTAGTTTGAAGGTTTACCTGGAAGCTGTCTCTCGCTGTAGCTGTTTGAAGGTTGTTAACTTGGAGCCTCCTCCTTGGAATGCCGCCCGTCTTAGTTTTAGGCTTAAAGTGGAAGTTAAGTTTGCATTGCCCAAGGTGGTGGTCTGTTTGACATTCTGCACTAGGCATCACTCGGGTATGACGGATGTCGCGAATATTGCTCTGGCTCTCTAAGAAGTAGTCAATGAGGTGCCAGTGCTTGGATTGAGGATGCATCCAGGTTGTCTTCAAGCTGTCTTTCTGCTGACAGATGGTGGTGATGGTGAGCTGCTGCTCTGCACAAAACTCTAGCAAGAGGCGACCATTGTCATTGCAGTTTCCAATACCATGCTTGCCTGATACTCCTTTCCAGGCTTCAGAGTTCTTTCCTACTCTGCCGTTGAAGTCACGAAGCATTATGATCTTATCATCTGCAGGAACCTTTTGGGTGAGGCGGTGCAGGTCGGGGTAGAACTAGTCATTTTCCGCAGGGTCAGCTTGGAGAGTTGGGGCATATATGCTATAGAGAGCAACATGTTGCTTGTTGTGTAGTGGGAGGCGTAGGGAGATAATGCGATCGGAATGGGCTGTCGGCAGATTTTCAAGTTTGGAGGCGATGGAGTTTTTAATCATGAAACCAACTCCTGAAAGGTCTCTTTCAGTTTTGGGTTTGCCTGAGCAATAGAGTGTGTAGCCAGCACTACCTGAGGCTACATGGCTGCCTTCCTCATGTACTTTACCAACTTAAATGTGAAATACACTGGAATAACACAGGCATTTTCCGGAAAGAAAAATACACAAAGGGCTGCTGTACAGAGAAAAGAGTGTCATATAGTGAAAAAATGTTTCATTAACAGCGTTCCTGGACATCAGTGCACACAGCACAAATGTAATTTGGTTATTGTACAGCCAACATCTGCTTAGTTTGTCTTTGGAAAAATGGTAATGAAGGAAGCCAAGGCCTTCATATACAAACAGCTCAACCACATGGTTAAATAAAGTGCTGAAATATTGAAGTGTTAGCATGAAATTAATAGGAAATGGTAGAAGCTGGTTTAAAGAGAACTGGAAAATGATCGGTTTTCTTACTTGCTATAGTGATTCTTTAAACAAATGTAAAATGCCCGATATCCAAAAGGAGCTTGTAAACTGCATGTGCAAGAAATATTCACATTTTCTTTTCAGGATTTTAGTTTTAAAAAAATAAACCTTCCTTAAAATCTTGGTGGTTTTATAACATAGAAATATATGATCAATGTATATATTTTATTACATCATCTATAAAATAAGTAATGAAAATACTGTGCAGTGGAACTCATAAACTTAACTGACCATTGCAAGGTGTCAAAATCTGGTTTAATTTCTCATTTCTCGAGCTGGCCTGCTTTGAGCAGCCGATTAGACCAGAAAACTCCTGAGATCTCTTCCAACCTGAAGGTTGATTTCATTGTTTTTTTTTGAAATGGTTATCAAACAAATATGATTATATCCTCCTGATAAAAATAATTCTGTTATGTGTATATCCAAAATAAAATGGAAAAGGAAAAAAACCCATTAGATGTTTTACAGTTTATTAGTATGTAGTACCAGAAAGTTTTGTTCTTGTTTCGAGAGAAGTCTAGGTATTGACCTTGCTATGAATCACTGATTGCATGGTTTATAATCTATACTGAATTTGCATGCATACTATTTGGGAAATGTGTGTTTGTTAAGTGTATGGTGGATTCTTTTTCACTAGCAAGACTCATTTTGAATGCGAATCATGAACACAGCAAAGGCCCAACAGCCAATCAGTGACGCCTCTGATGAGTGGGCAGATCAGTACTCTCTAAATCTGGCTGAGGCTGTGGGACAGTCTAGTTCTGCAGGCTGGAAAGACCCCAAGTGTGATGCTGATGGTCTTGATGCTGTATTTTAATTTTGGAAGCTTTTTCAGGCTGCTTTGTGACCGACTGGAGAGTGTGCAGTGCTGCTTGCTGAGGATCTATCTGTTGCTCTTTGTTTTTATTGAAGCTTCATACACTTTTGGCCATTGCAAGACAGCTTTGTGGCTGCCTTCTGCAGTATCTGTACCAAGTTGATCCTCCTCAAACTTTTAGGACACCTTCTCATTCCTCCAGACATCTTACAAGGTGTGGAGATGGTAGCATGAAGGTGAGGGTCCAGGCCTGATTTGCAAATGTGCCTACATTTACAGAGGAAGAAAGATGTTCAGCCTAACTTATCTAACTTTGTTTAATAAATTAATTAACCAATATTGCCTGTAATCGAGCATATTTTAGACAGCTGCCTACTTAACTTGATACAATACATCTTTTTTCCTGACAGGTGCTTACTGAACAACCCTGGAGCCTTGAATTACTGTGACACTTTATTTGTATGTTACCAAAGTGTTCAGAATCTCCCACAATGAACAGCTGATGTGACTTTAATGAATATCCACCAACGTAATATAAAAATAAAATCTCAATCAGAGGCATTTTCAGCCCAGCGAAATTTGATTTAATCCTTCCCTTTTGCCCCAAAGCAGTGTTTAAGAAGACTTCACTGATTGCCTCACATGAAAGACCTCTCCCTGCATAGCAAGGGATCCAGTTTTGTTTGGAAAATGATAAAATGCTTTCTTAATTAATGGACCTGGGTGAATCTAACTGCCTAGATTCCATGAAAGCAAGTCATGTTATAGGATACATTTGTTAAGAGTTTGGGAAATGAAGGTACTAATTGCTCTTAGAGTTGTTGGAGCTACTGTAGGATGTTTTGTGGGCAGAAGCTGTCTGAACTTCCTTGGGCAGCTGTCTCAGTACCGGTCATGCTGCTTCTGTCCTCCTGAGTTAAGTAATATGGCAAAATACTAGAGTTATTTAGAGGCTTTGTATTATGTATGCACAAGGTATAGGATGATGCCAACAAATCCAACTTCACTGTTGAAAACCCCCTGAATTTATAATTATTTTAGGCCATATTTCTACACTCATGTGACAGGAGGTCATGGGTTATGCCCTCCAGTAAGAACTGGTCTCTAGAAGGTGGCAGCCAATGACTTCAGTCCCTTGTTGGATCTTGTAGCAAAACCTCCTAATTAGTGCTTGGTAGTCTGTAACCAAAAATACTCGTAAAGGAATCTGCTGCTTCTGGGGAACAGTGTTGTGTGTGTTTTCCATAGAACTCTTGCTTAATAGCAGAGAAGATTAAAGGCAAAATGAAGACTTTGCTAAGACTGCTGGACAATGAATTTTGATACTTGCCTAAGACTTGAAGTCTATATATATTTGGCAAGTTTTGAAGCTGTTTTTCTAGGTATTTCCTAGTACTTTCTGAGAAAGAGTTCTTCTAATCAGTCTTCCACCAGACTGGGCAATGTGAGGTCATAGTACGTAACTACAGCCCCAATTTTATACACACTTTTTATACATAGGTAATTTTAAATGGGAAGTTTACCAAAAAATTATCAGTCCTGTTGGAACGACAGCATGCCTACAGATTTTATGTTGCTGGGTGTGAAACCTGTTGTGGTCTGTAGCTGTGTAGCTGATAGAGAATTTGGCTTCTAGAAGCAACTGAACACGTGAAATACAAACTTAGTGATTTTCTTCAACTTCCCTCCTGCCTCCCCATCTTGTATTTTATTATAGGTCATTTTCGCAGAAGCAGTTGTTTGTTTACCGTGGGTTTTTTAAGTTATATACTTTGCTGTCTGTAAGAGGGATATCTGTTACTAAAAAACTAATAGTTGTGGATGTGACCTAGTAACATTCTGAAACCCTATATTTATCAAATAATGGTATTCTGAGTAAAGCGGAAGGATCTTTCCTACAGACAGTTCTTTGCTGCGGGAAGGGTTAGTGTCTGCTGCATCTTGGTTTTACTAATTTTCTGATCTGTCACCTTTGTACTCAGTGTGCTCGTAGAACATTTTTGTTGAACCTTTTTGGACATAAGGGCATTTAACTAGATAGATACAGCAGGGTAACTGGAGCAGAGGACATTCAAAAATAGATTCAAGCAGCAGCCTGTACTGCTGTGTGCCACTGAGCAGATCCTTGCGTGGACCTGCCTAGGTTGCACCATAGGTGCTGGTGGCCAAATCTTGTATTTTCCCTTGGCAGAGGTCCATATGGAAGCTTTGGGGGTTTTGTTAGAGTAAGCAGTTACACAGGTTTGAACTAGTCAATGCTTAATACGAGTTATGTTGCTGGGGAAATAGGAATGGAGACGTAACAAAATAATGCACATCAAGCAGTCCTCCTTTCTGTTCTTAAATCTAAGTTTGGAAGGTGTCTGAGCTAGGAGGCATGAAGATAACAGATTCTGTTTGTCACAGGCATTGTTGCCTTGTCCCTGTTAGAAAATCTTTGATTTCCAGCATGTAAGGGAGAGAGAGAGAGAGAGTGTCTGTGTGTGTGTGTCTGTGTGTGTGTCTGTGTCTGTGTGTGTGTGTGTGTGTGTGTGTGTTGGCTTCTTCTGCTAAAAGTTCAGCATTGTCCCTTCTGTTCTTGTGACATGCTTGTATCTATCCAGAGCAGATCAAAAAGTGAATACAGTTAGGGCAGGGAGATGTGGCAGCTTGTTTCTCAGACAGTTGATAATGTAGGGACACCCATGGAGCTTCAGCTCACCTGGCAGTCCTCCGTCCCTTGATGTGAGCCTGCTTTCAGTGCTGTGTTGACAGAGCAAACCCAAAACTTTTAAAACTGAAAGACCTGGAATGAGAGTGAAACTGTTCGTTCCTTCAGCTGGGTTTTTTTTTTTTTATCTTACTAACTGAACCACAGCAATGTGTAGCCCTTTTCATCCTTCCCCCCCCCCCTTTTAAATCTTATTAAATTAATCTTACTAAATGATTCAATGATTAAATGCTCTTGTGGTGTGCTGCTACTACTCAATTGATCAGGTACACAGGAGCAGCAGTTGTGAGGAAGCTAATCTGTTTTATCTGTCATTAATTACTTTGTCTATGTAATTAATAAGATCTGCTGAAACTTCTGATGATGAACAAGTGAGCAGACGATGTCCTTTGCAACTACCCTGACACACTTGTCAGTGGTCTTTGAAGAAAATAGGTGCTTCCAGCATCTGGTTTTATTGTTGTGCCTGGCTGGAAACAGAATGTTTTAGAGGAAACTGGCTTGTTTTACTGATGAAAGGTCTTCCACGTTCTGTATAACTTTTGGTCTTTATATTGTAATAGAATGAGCATTCTTCAGTGAGGTAATTTCATCTGGAATAGCGAAGTGTCTAAAATGTATGGGGAAAATCCCCAGTAGTACATTTTAGGGGTGATTTTTACTATTCTAACTTGTCTCGTATTAAACATGAAGACAGAGAGCCACCAGGTTGCTTATTTCACCTCTGACTTCTGAACTTAATGACCTTACGAACATGAAAATTGAAAGCAATGTCTCTATAAATAGGTGATCTTTACTGGAAGGTATCGACTTCATCACTATCACTCTGAGTTTATGATTTGTAAATTTGTAGGATGAAAATTTTGGTCTTTCTCAATGATAAAATTCCCAATGAATTCAGTGAAGTCAGGACACAATTTATAGGCCACATGTTAGTTTTCAGCTCCTCTAGACCTGCTGGAGGTTAATTACCTCTTTAGCTATTGCTTTCGTTGCTGAGCTCTTCAGGGTTCTGACCCTGTTGGTAACTCTTACAGGTATTGGGTGTAATCTCTGAGAGTCTTCGACGCTTAAAATTGTAGCTTATTATGTAGTATTTCTACAGGATGTGTTTGAAGACAGATTGCCCCATGCATTTTCCTATCAGCATTTTCCTTTCCTGTAGTAGAAGATCAAATGTAAGAACATAAGAATATCTAATATAAGAATATGTCTTTCTTTTTTTTTTCCCTTCTTTTCCTATATTGTTCATGTTTCTTCTTTTATTTATTTATTTATTTTTCTGTTTCTTTCTAAAGATCCAAGTACAAATCCAGCCTATTCAGAGGAAAGATTGGCTCACGAAGCTTTGCAATTAGAAAAGCGTTTGAGCTTGCTGTCCCATACGAGTCGCCAGGGCAGTGGAGGTAAGAAATATCTTTAAGTAAATGGTGCTCCTTCCTTCTCAGGCTTTAGAAATGAGCATAGGTATATAAGATGCTCAACTTAGAAGAAAAATAATAGAGAAATTGTAAAAATATTTGATTTGGCTGCTGTTGTTTGGAGGGCAGTTCTTCAACAGCATTGTCTGGAGTCCACTGACATAGATTGGAGTTTTTCAACTGAGCAGAGTAAGTTTTGGATAAAACGCCATTAACAACAGGAGAATCCTTTAGTATGGTGAATTGTACTGAATTTGTGCATGTGCAACTTCAAAAAAACTATCTGTGTCAAGATTGGTATCTACTTTAGTACTTGGGTCACTCCAGCGTGCGAGATAGACTGACTTGGACAGTTCACAGATCAGGCTTACAGCAGATTTTTGTAGTGAAACAAGACTCCTGTGCTTTGCTTGTGTTATTACTCTTGCTCTTTGTGGTGCCACCTGTGCATGTCTCTTCTGGAGCTGTTTATGTATCAAAGTAGCACTGGTGGCTAGCATTGGACGTATAAAAGGGCCTATGCCTTGAATTGCCATTTAAATTAATAGCAGAAGTTAGATCCTCAAAACATCTGCTTTGCTCTTGACTCAAAAGCCTACAAGCCTAAAAATGGCCCCGTGAAGATCCTTAGGAGCTTGATTTTGTGCTTCTGTACATCCCATGGCTACTTTAGTCTTGACACTGCTGAGTAATGTGGTCTGTGACTGAATTCCACTGAGACTTCGAGGTTTTTCTTAGTTAGCATATAACCACTAGACTTGACTAGATTGATGGGAAATGAATGAAACTTGGTAGAGAAGAATGGTTTGGTTTGCTTTAATCCAGTCACTCTGATTAGAAAACATGGCCCAATTCATATACAGTCTCTGCTTGAGTTTACTTGAATTTATTCTTATATTTACTTGACCTTATTCTCCTAAGGACGTTACAATCCTCAGAGAATGAAGAATCCTAAAGTAAGATTTTCATAGTCTGTTATTTGAGTTTTGCATAGGAAAATGAAATATTTCTGTTTATGAGAAGATTTTCCCTGTAGTTTTGGTGGGAGGACATTTGCCTTAATCTGGAGATCTAGATTCTGCCACTGCTTTGGAGAACACGTAGCTCTACATAGTTATTTTCTTCGAGACTCTGGTAGAACTTTCCTTCCAGAGTTCAAAGTGACTAAAATGTTTGTCTAAGAGAAGTGATTTCAATTTTATTTTGTAAATAAAAATGTATGGATTTGTAAGCAGAATAACTTCTGTTTTAACAAGTTTATTTCTTCTTCTGGGTGAGTTGCTGAGAACTATACTAATATTTTTGTAACTCATGCCTTCCATCCAGGCAGCTTTAGAATTTAATCTCAGGAGTTACATTTATGGAGGAGTCACAAGCCAGTGCCGTGTAAGGGGCACTGGGGGGGAAAAGAAAGAATCAGATTTCAGGGCATAAACATTGCAATTTTGTGATAATATAGATTAAGAATTACTCCATGAAGAGCAGAACAGTCGTTCTAAACTTTTTCCCTCAACAGCTGAGAGTAGAAATAGCATAGTAACTCCAGAAGCTCAGGTCCCCTTTCTACCCCATCTGTCAATTTATTGCCCAAGCTTTACAATCAATAAAATTAATTAAAAATAATACCTACAAAATTTTCCTGCTTGTCAGCCTTTTCCTCATTGGTTTTATTAAGAAGGAAGAAAATAACGTTGTGGACTGTGTGTGTCATTACAAGAAAGCATTTGTGTGTTTGTTTGCTTGGTTTTGTGTATGTGGGTTTTTTTTGTCCTTATGCCATTTCATGCCATTTTTTCATTTTTTTTTTCCTTCCGTATTCTGTCTTGGATAGCACTAGTTACCTGTAGAAGTGTTCTTGCACATCAGTGAGATAAAAAAATTTCCTGTGATATGTGCATATATGAATATTTTTATAATAGTAGTAGAATCATAGAATCATAGAATGGCCTAGGCTGGTATTCTCAATTTTGTTTGTTACAGTGACGTGTAGTTGCATTTTGGTATGGGTATTGTGGAGAAGTACAGTGTAAGAGAGCTCAGAGGAGATAGCAGGACAGTCTTAAGTTTGATTTTATTTTTGCGATCTCTTTAACATTCACTTTGATGTAATTCATATATGATTGAAATAGAGAAAATATACAAACAAGATAATAATTTGACTGATTCAGATCAAATAGAAACGTAGAAATGCCTTATATGGCTTTCAGTTGCAGTACCAAATTTTCTTCAGAGCACCCACAGCTATGCTGAGCGTGGGACTTTGTGACTATTCCCTGTACTTTAAGATAGGAGTACATAAAATAACACCAATTAACTGTACAGGAGTAAAGTACGACTGAAAAGGAGAGAACTTAGTGCATAAACTCTAAAAATGTAGCCCTGAATGCATTGTATTCCACGATGTGGTAGGGGTATGGCAAGATTTTATACTATTTACATTTTATTTTTCCTGTGGGGATAGGAATTATTGCAGGAATTTGGGCTTTCTGACAGAAGTTCCCCTTACAAAAAGCAGATGGAATCTCAGGGTCCTTTCTGTTTGTATGTTCTTCCCATGCTTCAGTCTGTTGATTGTGTTTTAAACGAGGTTGACATGTTTTCTTCCTTCCTAGGAGATGACAGAAGTCTTTCAAGCTCGTCTTCAGATACCAGCCACTCAGATGTTGGGAGCAGATTGACAATTTGGCCTGAACAGTCTTCAGCCAGCACTTCTCAAGAGAGTCATGGGCTGGCAGCTGCAAAGGGCATTCATCTTGGGGAAGAAAAGACCCTACCAGAAGGGGCACGTGGCACCACTAAACCACCTCCAAAGCCCCTCCGATCCAGACAGCTACAGGAAATAGGTCGTCAGAGTTCTTCTGACAGTGGAATAGCTACTGGTAGTCACTCTTCTTACTCTGGAAGCTTCTCTTCCTACGCTGGGAGCTTGGACATTTGCCACGGTGATGAGTTTGGATCATTGCTAAGTTTGCCATTGAACTTTCCTTCAGATCAGAGCTTATGTACTTGTCCTCAGAACGAGCCTCAGAGAGGTGCTGGATCGGAGTATCAGGTTCCCAGCTCTCTCAGGCATATTTACGATATACCCAGGAGTTTGTTACAGGCAGCTTCTAAAGACGTGCAGCCAAAGAGTGCAGATGCCACACTACCAAAGGACCAGGCCTCGTCATCTCAAGGTGCTAGTGATCCAAAACTGCTGCTACCACACCTGGAAGCACGGAGGGTACCTGAGCACAGACAGGACAGAGGGAGGCCTTCATTCTTACTCACAGAAAGCGGGAAGGACTCAAGTGATGAGACGTATGTGGATTTTGTTTCGAGGTGGTCAGACACAAAACCACAAGGACAGGTGTCAGACTCCAAAAGTAGTGAGTTGTCAGCACCTAGTGGGGCCTCAGCTGACCCTTATGACACATGTAGCCCCCACCTTGGGATGACAAGAGCTCTTTTTTCAGCTTGTCCAATCTGTGGTGGACTAAAGGTAAATACCTAACACTGAGCAGATGCTAACAAGCCTTGCTTAATGTAGCATGATTAATTTAAAATTACTTGAGTTGTAGGTCGTAAGTACTATTGTTTCCTTCATAATTTGAAGAGGTAATAACTTTTCTGTTGTTTATGCTCAAGTTGAGAGGCTTGGCTCATGGTTTCCTCAAAATCTGTGCCTGATCAGGAAAAAACTGAACAATATAGGCCATCAGTCATTACTTTTAAATTGCCCAGCTTTGGCTTTGCGTATGTGTCAGTGGCTCACAGTGACAGAGATGGAAGCTTACAGGCACTGAGAGGGCTGAAATTGTCATATAACGCTAATCTGGTATGACTGACATTGATCTGTCTTGCTGCTGGTATTTTAACAGAAGAAAGGGAGGTCAAATAGTATGTGCTGCTCCTAAGGTAGGTAGTTTTATTTTATTGATGTTTTTCTTTTCTGTATCATTGTAGTTTGAACACATTTTGCATGAGAAGCCAGATTAGCAAAGCTTCTCACTTGGGAAAGAGAAGATAGTCAAGTCAGCCTGGCAATCTGTAACAGATCAACTAATCCAGTGTTGTAACTGGCTGATGGCAGACACTTTAGATGAGATACATAAAATCTCATATTACCAGGACAGTGTATTTGCAGGAAAAATTGGTTTTGATTGCCAGTCACATAAAGACTGAAAACCTAAAGTATGGACATTCATAGGCCTTCCTAAACACATTTGCCGGTATCTGGTACTATCACTTTGATATTCTTATAAATTCTTTTTGAACCCTCCTAAATTCTTGATTTTTTATGGCAGTAAGTTCTATATGTTAATTTTACATTGCATGAAGAAAATGCATCTGTTTTTATCTGTTCTGCAGAAGACTTTTTTGTATGTGTTTGCTAAACTAGAGGGAGGTGAAGCTGTGTTGGTGAGCTGTTGAAAGGCTGGGCTGGAAAGGTAGCTCCAACTACGGAACGTGTGAAGTACAGATTATTTGTCTGAGGACTTAAATATTGCCACTGAAGTGCGTACATTTTAACTGAGCATGTGAGATTACCTAGATCACTGCTGTGAAAAGGGCTTGAATGTATAGTAAGTTATCAAAGAAAAATTAAAATATTATGAACTTGAGGGATTTTCTTCTTATTTTCCAAGATGCTTTTGTTAGCAAGGAAAGAATTAGATAAAGTACAGTTACCTCAGACGGCCTAAGTATGTCCTGGGTGATCTGAATTGTCTGTTTAGATGTGAATTTATGAAAGTTTACCCTGGACGACTGTGGCAGACAGGAAGCTGAAAGGGTATTCCACTGTATACCTTCAAAGCTGTTAAAGGCTTAATTATGTCACTTCTTTAACTGCCTGTTGACTCCAATAACATACACACCCACATCTTTTATTGTAAATTGCTGTAAGGTTTTATGGCATTTCTCGTTGCCCTAATGTTATCAGTTGGCAACAATTTCAGGAGTTGTCAATATTGAAACAAATTCAGTGAGAGAAACACTAATTCAACCCTTTTACTAACATGTTTTAGCATGTGATATGCACATACGCTTCTTATCTCTTTTATTATAAATGCATTTGTAAGCAGTTGAGAAAGAAGCATCATTAAATAGAATGATTCATGGATTCGCTTTTATCTTTGAAAGAAGAAATAACCTTTTGATACGCTGTCCTGAACTGTCAAGATGAGTTATTTTAGCAGTATTTAATGGACACCGTTCTTGGCTTTTCTCATGATAAATACAGTGAAAACATAAATCTGTATGCTGTAAGTAAAAAATAATTCTTATTCCTTGTGTTCTGAACAGAATATGTTTCAGATGCAGTTAGGGCCAGAAGGAATTGATTTATTCATTAATGAATACACCAGGTTTTCATATTTATTCGGATTCTGGTTCAGAAAGCTTTAGTGTGCCAGCGTTTGGAGTTTCTTTGCAATTTCAAGTTAAGCTGTTCATTATGTTGATGGTTTTTAAATGCCTGCTATTTAAAGTGAGCAAATGACCTGAGGAGAGGAAAGTCTACAGCAGTAATCAAGGATAGAAGCATTGGTTTGTTTTCTGTCCTGTATGTAAACTTTGGCAAATCGAGGTTAGATTTGGGCTCGTTGTCAGAGTGTGGAGTTCAGCATGTGGAAGAGTTGGAGACAGGTTGTAGGATGAAGATGTGCATACTTGGAAGTCAGAGTGGCTTTCGTGATTGGAGTTGACTTGGTTAAGAGCCATCTGCTCCACTAATGACAAGGATGATGGTGAACTTAGGGAGAACATACCCTGGGAAAGTACAAAATTTCAGGCAGAAAATAGAGCAAGGAAATCTTTCTCTTACACTCTGGATGAAGAGTAGAACCAGCATGAAGAAAGTCACTAAATATTGCTTCTCTTATTTTTATATTGTATTTCGTATTAGACATTGGGGATTAATAAGCAAGCATGGAGGACGTTTTGCCTTCTGTTGTATGTTACTGTAGTGTGCTCAAGATGTCCTTCTTAACAAACTTCACAAGGTGTGCCTTTGCTATGTAATTTTTGCCTGGGTTATTTCAGTGCTATAGGTGATTGCAGAGATGAATTCTTTGTGTATTTTAAGTGTATTTTAAGCTCAGAATGTTGGATTGTTGAGGGATGTCTGAATAAGCTGTAGAGATCTATTCTTAGATTTTCCTTATCACATTTTCAACTACTTATACTAATTTGATTAATAGAATTTCACTGTATGCTTGTTGCTCTGTAACTTCATTTGATGCTATAGTTTTGAGAAATTTTGTCAACCTTTTTTATAGGGTGTCTCTTTTTTACACCACCATTGTTTGTAAATTTTCTTAGAATTCTGAAAAATAAAATTATTTTCCAACTGGTTTTGTCCTTTTCCATGTGACAAGTACTGGTTTTAGTTTTGCTTTACTTTTCGTCCCCTGTCCTTCATCTTCTTGCAAATTGAATTAACATGGAATGATTATGGCTGGCTCTTCCACTACTTAGTGTTATACTCAAATCACTGCTGACAGCTGGAAATGTGCCTATTAGTAGGAATGACTTTTATGTATGTCTAGCTCACCCTAAACTCATATTTATGTCAGTGGGAGTTCTTATGTAAGTAGAATTACAGTCCTGATTACTGCTTTGGTAGTTAACTTGCTGTGATAGAGGAGAAAAGACTGTCAGTTTGTGTGTGGCTGTTATTACCAATCCTGTATTGGTATTCAGCTGACCATTCAAAAACATTAACACCTCCTTGGAGACAATTGTCCTTGATCAGGAACTGGTCTAGCCAAATCCTCTGTGAGGTGTTTGTATAGTTCCTACTGCCACAGTAACTGTACGCCTCCAACTTTGAATCAGAGGTCACAGAACCATTAAGGTTGGGAAAGACCTCTAAAATCATCTAGTCCAACCATCAACCAATCACAGAATTGTTGAGGCTAGAAAAGACCTCTGAGATCATCAAGTCCAGCCCATACTACCATAAATCTCCAAGCATACCCATAGTACACGGACATACGGGAATACTGTGGTCACGATGCACAAAAGGGAATTTGTCAGGTAGTGGGATCCGCAACGCTGAGTGGCTAAGAATGCTTCCCTATGCAATACAGGGAGATCTGGTACCTGCCCTGCGGGCTCTGGATATTGTTTTAAGTAGCTTTGAGTAGCTGATAGGACTTTTACCTCTTTTAGTCCATTCTGTAGAAACTGCTTTATTTTGCGTTACAGCTGTAAGGGAAGGCACACGCGTGGCTGTACTGTGGTCCTTGAGCCGGCACTTCATATATTGAATCGTGCAGCATCATGTCCCTGCAGGGCTTGTGAATGCCATGCAGCCAGTCTTCCGTGAGTGCAGGGTCTCTGGGTAAATCTAGGGCTACGATGAGTATCTGTGTTTCCACTGTGCGTTGCAGACCAGGGGGAGACTGAGTGTGGAGAGAAGCAAGGCTGATGTGTCCTCAGGTAGAGAAGATGCTTCAACTTTAAAGAACATCTTGCACTGAGGTCTGTTCTGTGGTTCTGCCTGGACTGATTTAACCAAGGTCATGAAGCCTGTAACTACGTTAGGAATGTAGACTTCACCTTCCAAATCCTGTACCAGACTTTTAACCCTGGACTTAGTTAGTCTGTTTCCTTTTGTTGTAGATGCTACTTTTAAAAGTGGTGAAAGAGGCAACCTAGAAGGTGTAGACATGGGTAGTGAGATTTCAGAAATAGCAGCTTCAGTCTACATTGCCACATCCGTGTAACTGAGAATGATTTCTTTTTTTTTTTGGCTTTTAATAAGGTACTTTTGTAATGTAGCATTAAAGTCGATGCTAAAAAATTCACAATATGTTGTTATATACAACTTTAATGCAGCTTTTTCCTGTTGGAGCCATTATCTCTTTCCTCATGAGACTGAACACCTCATGTGTTCATCTCATAATGTGTTTATTTCCCTGCTTTCTCTGAAAATACAGGAACATGATTATTTGTAATTACACACCTTTTACATCTCTTGTCAAAGTTGTGGTGGTTTTATTTTATTTTTTTTTTAGTATTGATATGAGATGCTTTAACAGATTATGCTTCCTCCTACCTTCAAAAAAGCTATAGGCTGTCTAAATTCTCAGTTGAGATGGATGCGTTTGTCATCTTCTACAGCACTGGTTCTACTTGTATTTCTGCTCTAATCTCAGAGCTCTGGGCAGTTGGGCAACACACACACCCCGTCCATATATAACAGGAGCTGTTTGCACCTCAGAGGAATCTGGAAGTCAGTCGTCAGCATTACTGACCTGAGTGAAAGCGTGTGTTTGTAAGGCTGTTGCATGCTTTGATGACCATTGCTTCTGGGTGTAATTGGCATTTGGCATGAATTAGAAAACTTGCATTTGTGCTCTCTTCTTTTAAGATTTAATTCAAACTGCATTTCTTTAATTCCTGCCTGTGATACATTAATCTGCAGTGAGGTGTATCTTCCACAACGTGTGTCACCACTAAATGAGGTGACTGCGTTGGACAATGGTTTAGCAA